GAAAATGTAAAAAAAAGAACATGCAGAAACAAGTCCAGGCACACTCAGCAGCCTTACCTGTGACAGAGGAGCCAAACGTCTGTGCTGAAGGAAAGACAGGCTATTTAACCAACAGTGCTGGGGAAACTGGCTTTCCACATGCCCAAGATTAACCAGGACCCACATCTCTCACCATGCACTAAACTAAAATTGAAACAGATCAAAGAGCTAATTATTGAAACAGAAACACTTTATCTGCCTGAAGACAGAATAGCTAAACCTCTTCAGATATAGTATGCAAAGACTTTATAAACAAACCCCTAAAAGCACAAGAAATATTATAAAGAATCAACAAATGGGATCACATCAAATTAAAGAGATTCTGCACAGCAAATGAAACAACCAGCAGAGTGAAGAGATACCACACATCTGTAATTATACTAAAAGAAAATGTAATCTCTAGAATTATACACTTAAACAGGTGAGTTTTTTATCATGTGAATTGTATCTCAGTAAAGCTATGAAGAAATGATAATAAGTGGGCTTGATGGCTTCAAGAGGCTGAGGCAGGTGGGTCACAGTGAGTTTGGGTTACATAGTGAGTTCAAGGCCAGCCTGGATGACTTCGAAAGATCCTGCCTGAAAAGAAAAAATAAAAAAGGGCTGTCGATGCATCTGAATACAAATGCCATGGGTTCCATTCCAGGTACCAAATTTTTTTTTTTTTTGAGACAGGGTCTTACAGTGCAGTTCAGGCTGTCCTTAAACTCACAGGCATCCTCCTGCCTCAGTGTCTGGAGTCCTGGTATTATAGGTGAGCACCACAATGCCTGGCTCCAGTTACCAAAGTAATACAAAAAGGATAGAGGATGTGGGTTAGTAGAAGAGTCCCACACATGCACAGCCTGGGGGTTTGATTTCTGGCACCACAAAAAAGGATGGGAAGGAGGGAAAAGTAAAAGAACGCTCTTTAAATTGAAACAACATGACATCAGGTATCTAAACCATGCAAAGAAATAAAAAATGTCAGGAAAAGTGATCATGAAGATCATGACAAAAGACATTTTTTCTTCTTTCACTTGAATGAAAAAATAACATGATAAAATAATCATAAAAGTGCATAGTTGGGCTTTTAACATAATATGTGACAGAGATGACAACAGCACTGCAAATGTGGATTTGAAAACAGCACATGCCTCAAACAGTTTCTTGGGTAGTCGATACGATGCTATTTTCATCACGGTAGTTTGTAGTATACCTTAAGTCTAAGATTGTGATGCCTCCATATTTCCCCTGATAGTGAGAATGCTTTTGCAATTCTAGGTCTCTTCTGGTTCCCTGTGGAGTTTAGGAGCCCACACAGAGGGGACAGTGCTAGAAAAGATGAATCTGCAGTTTAACAAAGATGCTTCCACATACAAATGTATTTCTCTTTTTCCCTTAATTCCTTTAAAAAATTGTACCATTGTGTAATGCAATGACTATTAATAATTTGTTACTGGGGCTGGGGATTTAGCTCAGCGGCAAAAGTGCCTGCCTGGCAAGCGCAAGGTTGTGAGTTCGGTTCCCAGTACCAGAGAAAAACAAAAAAACAAAAACAAAACCAAAATAATAATAATTTGTTACTGAGTTTATAATGCATGTAATTAGAATATGAATATTACTACAAATATCACATCAAAATTTCTGTATTTCACTGAAATTAATTTAGCATTAAACTGAACTCAGTTTTTATAAATTGTAATTCCTAGATATTCAACACTAAAAATTGAATTCTCAGATGGAGTCTTCCAAAAGCAAAACACACCCAAACCTAGAGGACACAGTAAGAACAGTTCTAAAAGGGAAGTTTGTAACTGTGAATACCCACATAAAAAGACTAGAAAGCTGGGCATGGTGATGCACACCTATAATCCTCCCAGCACTCAGCAGGCTGAGGAAGGATTGCTGCAAATACAAGACCAGCCTGAACTGCGTAGGGAGACAGACAGACAGACAGACAGACAGACAGACAGACAAACAAACAAACAAACAAATAAATAAATAACCAGGAAAAAAAAAACAATACAAGGGGTCAATGAATCAGGGTTGGTTTTCTCAAAGGGTGGGAAAGGGATCTGCATATGAGAGGAAATGGAAAAAAGGGGAGAAAGGAAAGTAAAAAGCTGGATCAAAATTGAAGGAATACATACACCAGTACCCTAATTCTGAGCCTTCCTGTGTCTACTGCAAACATACACTAGTAAAAAAACTGAGAGGAAAAAAGATCACGTCTTACTGTATTGTGTTGCTTGAAGTAGCCTAGCACTCCTGGGCTCAAAGGACACTCATAACTCACCTCCTACATTCATTGCATACAAATATGCTCTACTTTCCCTGGCTAGAATACAGGTTTCTTTGTTTGAGACAGGGTCTCATTATGTACTCCGGTCGGACCTTGAACTCACTATGTAGCCCAAGCTAACCTCAAACTTTGTAGAGAACCTCCTGCCTCAGCGTCCACAGTGCTGGGATTACAGGCATGCACTATCTTGCCCAACTTTGGATATAGTTTTTTTAAAAAAACAACAAATAGAAGCTGATTTTGTAACTCAGTGATACAGTGTGAGCTCAGCATGCCTGACACCCTAAATTCAACCTTTACCACAAAAATTTTAAAACTTGAAAAAAAAAGCCATTAAGAATTAAAATGGTATACTAAAAAATAGCAATCTAATACCGAAAAAAAAAAAAAAGGCAGTAAAAGAACAACAGAAAGGGCTGGGGATTTCGCTCAGCGGCACAGTGCCTGCCTGGCAAGCGTGAGGTTGTGAGTTCGATTCCCGGTACCGGCAAAAAAAATAAAAAGCTTTGGGCTGGGGATATAGCTCAGTGGCATAAGTGCCTGCCTGGCAAGCTGAAGGTCCCAAGTTTGATTCCTGGTACCGCAAAAAAAAAGAAAAAAAAAAAAAGAACAACAGGAACAAAAGTACATGACAGGCTGGTGATACAGGTCAGTGGTAGTGCACTTGCCTATATGTGCAAGGTCCAGGGTTCAACTCCCAGTATGGGGGGAAAAAAGAGACACATGGACAAACATGATACATTCAAAAAACAAAAAAAAACAGAGGTAAATTAACTACATCAATAATAATATTAAGTGTGAATGGATTTAAACACTATCATATTTCAGAAATTGTCAGACTGGATTAAAAAATCCAACTTTCTATTATACCTGTACATAAAAAGCAAACTTTATATTCAAAGACACAAATATATTGAAAGTAAAAAGAGAAAAGACATACCATGAATGTAAACAGTAAGTAAAAGAGAGGAATGACTACACTAATACATGACAAATAGACAGCAGGACAAAAAAACATAACTTGAGATAAAGAGGGATATGACATAATGATACAAGGTCAATGTGTCCAAAAGGTAAGACAATTGTGAAATACACGTAACAGAGCACAAAACACAGAAAGCAAAACCAAAGGAAGAGGCTGGAGATTTAGCTCAGCGGTACAATGCCTGCCCAGCAAGCACGAGGTTGTGAGTTCAATTCCGGGTAACAAAAAGAAAAAAAAAAAAGGAAGAAATGCACAATTCAGCAGCAATGCAGGGTACTTAAATAATCCACTCTCAAAAAGGGGGCAGAGGGCAACAATGCACTTTCGGGGTTCCCTTCTGGCCCTCTCAAGACAGAAGCTTTCTTTCTTTCAATAAAGTCCTCCTACTCTTAAAAAAAAAGAGATAAAACTATACCCAAACTTTCAGCAATAACAATCTATTACCCAATTTACCTAATATCAGAACAATAACCCATGCAAAATTAGCATGATACACATTCTTGCCCAGCATATATGCATCATTCTCCCAAGTAAAAAACATGTTAGGCCATAAAACAATTCTCAATAGATTTACAAGGGTAAAAGCCAGGCAAAGTTATATTCTCCAGCTATCACAAAAAGACATCAGAAATCAACAACAAACAATTACTAGTATTAAATAAGAAACTTTTCTGCAAATATTTAAAAATTAATAATACACTCCTAAATAACATTTAGATTAACAAAGGAACCTTGGAAATCTGAAAATATTTTAATCTGAATGATAGTAAAAACTCAAAATAGCAAAATGTATGCAGTATAACCAAAGCAATTTTAGAAGCACAACTGTAGATTTTCTTTCTTTTGTGCTTTTTACTTTGTTTTTATTTTGTTTTGTTTCTTGCCATGTAGTTCAGGCTGCCTTGAACTCATAGCAATCCTCCAACCTCAGCCTCATTAGTGCTGGGATCCCATGTGGCACTACACACAGCCCATATTTATACAATTAAATACCTATATTTGAAAAGATAAAAAATAAAGGTTGGGCTGTGGCTCAGAGCCAGCATGGGAGAACCACTGGGCTCAATTCCCAGCACTCCGAAGCCGGTGGGTGTGGGCACCAAAAGGTGAAAGGCAGAAACAAACAAAAACAACCCTGGGCACAGTAGCACACACCTGTAATCACAGCTACTCAGGAGTCTGAGGCAGGAGCATTTTAAGTTCAAAGCCACCTTGGGCAACTTAACAAGATCGTGTCTCAAAAAATAAAACACTAAGGCTAAGGGATGTATGTCCATGGTTGAGTAGCCCTGGCTTTAATCTCCAGTACTGCCCCAACAAAGAAAAAGGAAAAAGAAAGGAGACTTCTGGAAAGATGGCAAAGAGGTAACCAGCACAGAAAGAGCCTCTCTGAGATTTGCCATACAGACACTGAAATACAGCAAAAACGAGGAAGATAAGGAGGGAAATGGGTCCTCCGGACTTAGAAGGCCCTCAAGTGAGAACTGAATACGACACGGAGAGCAAGGAGAGAAACTTCAACGAAAAAGAGGTGGCTGGCAGAGCCCTCTCCCAGAGTTGGGACTCACTGCGTAGGAGGAGCAGTTTACACCTATGGAGACACTGTGCCTGCTGGCAACCCCACAGGCCTCACAAGGGGAACTCAGCAGTAGAAGCGGGCAGTGGACATGGAGGACTACACTAGCTGGTGGAGAGTGCTTCGGGATCGAACATCCCATGGGAGACGGAGATTGGCTGGGAGTCAACCTGGAGAGAGGCCAACTGGCTCAGAACTCAGAACATCATCTGGGGCATCTAGCAGGTCCCAACTAAGTTCAGTCCCACAGAATGCGCGCTGACTGCTGCAGGCTGAACAAGTCTGGTCCCAGAAACCAGCCTGAACTTCAGGGAAAATAAAGGTGCAGGCTCGCTGAGACTATCCACTACTCTACCGTAAAACAGCTGCTGACTTGCTGGGAAAAATCAACATGGATCTGGATGCTGTCTCCACACATTGTCTACCAGTAACAGCAGAGTCAAATCTTTAAGTGGCCT